GCTCCAGCTTGCACTGAGAAATCTTTTTCTCCTCCAGATCTGAAGACAAAAGGAGAGGAGGCCTGGTGGTGAGCGGGATATCTCTGTTAGTTGTCAGCGCAGGTCCATGGGTTAGGAATGCTAATGAGCCTCTTGGCCAGCTGAAGCCTCGGTTCTCTCTCGCACACCCTCACGCTCACACACACTCAGGCTCAAGCATGCCGACTGACAGGCATACAGACAGAGGCTCGTGCACGACCCTGTCTCTCTCCTTTTTCCTCTGAGCCTAGAGATCGATCGCTGACCCCACTGTTGGGCCAACGCTTTATTTATCTGGCTGTGCAATGATATTATCAGCCTTAAACGTTATATACAGCAAATGTCTTCCTAAATCAACACAATAGGATAGCTTGCAGAGGCCAGCCTGGTCTGTCTTAAAGAAATCCCTGGCTATCTCTCTCTCTTCCTCCCTCCTCTGGGTTACAGACACCCCTTTCTCCTTTCCACAGTTACTCCTGGGGCTCTTTGGTACGTTGGGCTTGGGGATTTGATCTCTTTCTCTCAGCTCGGTTGGAGGAGGCCTCAGCCGGCTAGGAGATGGATAGACACATTATCCACCCATCACCGTGATCTCCTTCAGTGGTTGCCTTGTCAGCTGGTTCCAACTGCCTGGACCCACTCCATTCCCATGATCCCGGATTGCTCAAAATTGGGGTAGACGAGAAGGCGAGGGGTGGTCAACCGAGTGTGCAACCTTGCACCGTGTTGTTTTCTTTCCTCTCAATTACATTCATAAACCTATTTTCTGCATTGCCTGTTATTTCTTTGTGCTTCAAAATTGAAACCACGTGCAGCCTTCTTCCCTCAGTACACACAATAAATGCGCTGCTGCCCCCCCACCCCCACCCCGCACCTCCTCCCCCAGCCCATCACACAACTATTTACATCTTGGTTACTCACTCCGCGCTCCGGGGCCCCCGGAGAAGAAATTGGCCCCACGGGACTAGGTGAGGCTTTGAGTAAAGCATCTCTCAAATCCGGATCGTATCTCGTGTCTCGGGCCCCCCACTCCGGGAAAGAGGCTCGTGAACTCCCCGGGCCGGCCTCCGCCCACCCCTGCCTCGCACAGGTGGTTGTGGCTGACTCTGGGACGAGCTAGCGGGGAGGACATCCAGGCAGAAAGGCAGCTCTGTCGTCTCCGGGCGGGCCCACCCCACCCGCCGGCCGCCGGGGTCAGCGGTGGCGGCGAGCGCGCCTTCCCCGGATCCTGGTCCACGCAGAAACCGGGTAGGAGCGGCCACTCCCCTGGGAGCCTTCCAGACCCAGGTCCTCCCAGGCAAAGGAGTCCCCCCCCCCAACCCCCTAAATAAATAAATAAAGTCCAAAGGGGGGAGGGGGAGCTGGAAAATGGATTCGCTGACAAGGAGAGATAATAAATGAGGGGCGCTTTCAGATAGATATCTCAGACGTGAAATTGCGCCCAGCTGGTTGTGTAAGCAAACAAATAGTTTCATGTTAGGAACTCTCAACTTGGGGCTTGATGAATAGAACACGACAGAGGTAAATGGGTCTTTAACTCATTTAGGAATACAACTCTTTGGCTTTCCGAGCAAAAGGCCCAGTGACGCCACGGATCCCGAGCAGGCCCTTTAACAAGAGTTTTATTAGTTCCCCACTTGGGTTTCCCCGCAATCCCCTCCCCAACACTTCGTAGTTTCCCACTGAGGAGACGTTCAGGTGATGTGTTCTGAGACATCGAGGAGCTTACGAGGTGATGCTGCTGCTCTAGGAGATAGAAGGACTGCCTACCAGCGGAGGCGGAGGAGGAGGATTCAAAAAATAATTAAAAATCAACTTTTGCCTGTTTCAAGCAGACTAGCTCAGGTAGCCTTGGGTGCAGGGAGACTGCAGATCCCCGGCGCTCCTGGCGCAGAGTTGGCCCGAGGGGCTTCCAGGAACGGACCGACCCCCTTTGCAGCCGACAGAGACCTGTGAAGCTGAAGCCCCCGAGGGGCAGAGTTCCGGAAGCCCTAGGTGGTCCTGGTGGGGTGGGCGCATCCCCTCCCCAGGGCTTTCGGCCAGGCCTGGTCGCAGGTTGAGTTGTGCGTGTTGGGGGCAAAGGTCAGATTTTAACTCCCTTTGGGCCCGTCCTTGTCCTTCCACGGCGGATGGGGGCGCAGCCCCGGGGCCCTAGAGATTCCTGGAGGAGAGCCAGCCCCAAGACAGCCGTTTTTTGATGTTTTCAGCAAAGTTGGGTGGCTAAAGTAGCTTAAACCGACTTCAAAGGCCCTTCAGATTCTCAATCACCCAGCAAGTGTTTGGGTTAGAAAAGGGAACGCTTGGCTTTTAGATGTCACAGGTAATTTCCAGAAGGAAGTCACCCTGTGTGGGCCGCTCTCCACCTGTTAAGATGGCTTTCCTCTGGCTCTGGGGCTGGGAGGGGGATGCTGTTGGTTCTACAACACCCCCCACGCCCCCCAGTGAGACCAGCTCCGCTCGCCGGGCACCCCCAGCGGCCAGTCTGGCCTACACCTGCCCGCGGGCCTCACACCCGGGGCCCAGGGCTCCCCCTGGCACCTTTTGCTCCAACGCCGCTCGCTGCTCAGGGGCCTCCAGGCGGCCACCCAAGGTAGAGACGCCCCCGGTCCAGGCGGCCTTCTGCCCAGCGGCTCCCAGTGTCTGAGGACATCCAGGATCCAGGGCAAGGCCACCCCGGCCTTTCTTGGGCTGCTCCCCCGCAGGGCGACCGGCCCTTACCTCCCCACCCTCCGCCCCGCATCCCTTAACAACTCCCCGAAACCCCCGCCCCCCGCCGGCCACTGGTCAGCTGGGCCAAGGATGGGAGCAGAGACAAGGCTTCCTGGTCGTCGGAAGCCTCAGGCGGTGGCTTAGATGCCTCCGTCTCAGTTCCTAAACCTTCCCTCACTGCGAACAGGTTCGTGCGGCCGGACCACGCGCGCCCTGAGAGTTGAAAGCCTCAAGGAGTGGACTGCGCACCCCCTGTCCGGCTCTGCGGCGGTGGGGTGGGGTCGCCCACAGGACCCCGGAGTCCTCAGGAGGCTCTATGTCTCTGGTTGAGATACAGAGACCTCTCAAGATGTCTCCGTGTGTCTAATGCAGGCGGGGACCACCCCAGCCACCCAGGAGACGGCAGATCGAAACCCCCTACCTGCAGCCCCCAGGAGGGGCTGCTTGAGAACCGAGCGGAGCCCCCGGAGCCTCCAGGTTCCTAGACCAAGCCTGTGAGGGGCTCTTTGAGACCCCAGGAAGGCCAGCTTTTTCCCTTTGCTGTGCTGGTCCTCTGCCCACCTGCCCCCGCCCAGTTTAGGCCCAGGGTTATTTAGAAAGGCCCCTGTGATCCCCCTGGCTGGAGGCAATGTTCCTGGCCCTGTCCAGCAGGAGCCAAGTTAGTACTGTCACCCCCGGGCCCCTGGAACAAGTGCTTCCGACACACGGACCTTGGTTTCCCGGACCAGTCCCACACTGGGTGCCTTGTACCTCCATATTGAAATTAATTGAAAAATATGTTTCTGACCTAGGAAAATGTTTATCTGTTTTCATCAGAGGGATCACACTGTAATGAATATATTTACATCTTATTTCAAGAAAGGCAGGGAAGATGGGTGAGAGCTTGGAGGCAGCTCAGCTCCCCTCCCCCGCCCCCAGCAGTGCCCCCAGGAAGGCCCCCTGAGACTTCCTGGGAGGTGGTCCGCAGTTGAATATGAGTTCTTCCCACACCCCTCCTGCCTTGGGTGCCCAACCTGTAAACAATTCAGCCTAGGCCCCCAAAACATTGTCCCTGGGTGTGGTGCAAAGGATAAGGCCCAGAGCTGGGTGGGACCTGCAGGAAGGCAGGAGGGGCCCAGTGGCCCAAGGGGGTCTTTCCACACCCCACACACCTCATCAGTCTAACTGTCCCAGGGCTCAGGCCAGTCCACAGGTGGACCTGAAGGGGCTGCTTCACAGAAAGTGGTGCCAGGCTGCACCGCACCCGGAATATTAAAACTTTAGGTAGACTGGAGCCACCTGGAGACTTCTAGACAGCGAACTGAGAGCGAACTTTGCCACTGACTTCTGAAAGTATAGCTTTGGCCTCATCCATGGCTGTTTGGGGCTGGGGGAGAAGCCAAAAGGTGTTACTTTAAAAGACCTGGCTTTATTAATACATTAAGAAAAAGCTCCCTTGGCTATGTGTGTTCTTGCAGTGCCAACTCGGATCCTATAAAACATTCGTGCTCTGAAAGCTGTTACAGAGAGCACCCTCCCTCGCCTCCCAAGGAGAGGCCTCAGCAGGAGGTTTCTGCCCTGAAAAGACCACTAGGACTCCAATGCAGCTTCTTGAAAAAATCAGCTACTCCAGTCCAGTTCCCGGACCCCCAGGTTCCAGATCCACACATCTAAGTGCCACAGGGGGCCCTTCCAGATGCCCAGTGGAGCTTGGAGGGCCCTCCAGGGAACCCCTGTCACCGGGTCTGGAGTGGCGGGCAAAGCATAGCCAGCTCTTTAGCAAACCATAGGGGGAGCAAAGCCAGGGCTCCCAGCTGAGACCCCACTTCTCTCTAGAGAAGAGCTAGGAAGAGGCTGACCCTGTAGTCACAGCCAAGCGCAGAGGCATCTTTCCATCCTGAAACCCCTTTGTCCAGGGTCCCATGCCTCTCCAGCCAGGCACGTTCCCACCTGCAGAGGCTGAAGGTGGCGGCAGAGACTCGATCCTATGGGGACCAGATCTGTCCCAGCCTCCCAGCCCGCTGGGAGCTGGCTGTCTACCACCTACAAGGTCACGATGGCTGCTGCCCGCACCCGCACCAAAGGCTGCTCTCCCTGCCCACTCTGTCCCACGCAGAGCCTGGTCCTCTACATTTACAATCCCAAAGCAGCTGCTTGGTTTTAGGAAATAAATCTAGCCAACTTGGTAATGGACCTTAAAGTTTCTCCCCCCCATTCTAATAATAATTGGAGTGGAAATTAATTGGAGGGTTCTCTTGCACTGATGACATCTGTCAAGCAACCAGACACATGGGTTTTGCTAAATTCTTTTTATTTTTTGTTTAAATTTTCACTTCGATTTTAATTCTTGAAGAACAGCCTCGACAACATATATCGCACTCATTATAAGAAGCAAAGGGTTATATCAAAAATTATTAGTATAGAATCACAGGAAATCTGGTTTGGAACCAGAAAAAAATACAAAACAGATATAGATACATAGACACAGGACAATTTTTTTTATAATTATTTGGAAAATGTTATTTTCCCCTAATTCTTGTTTCTTTTTTTTATGTGCATACGATGTTTAAATTTTACAAAAAAATGAAAATAAAGACTAGTATTTTACAAAATGAATAACAATGTCTGTGTGTGTGTGGTGTGTGTGTCTGTGTGTTTCTGTTTCTACATAGGATTCGGTCCACTTCCATGGGTGTTGTTTTCTGTACAGTATATATCCACAACCGTCCACAATAAATCCTGGAAGGTCCATTGGTTTCCTTCTGTTTTATTAAAATTTTCATGGTCCTCTCTTCCCAAATTAGTTTTCTTTTTCTCACCAGACACAAGGGCCTGTTTTCTTTCCTTTCCAACGTGTTCCCGGATCTGATACTAAAAAGAGTCTTTTTTTTTTTCCTCCAGGGTTGCAGCTTCGGTTTGCCTGTCTGCGCGGTGGGCGGCTCCTGTCGCCCCCCGGCCCTCCTCCCCCCTGCCCGGCCCCGCCGCACCCTGCATCGGCCGCCTGGTGCCTCCGCGGCTTTGGAGTCCACGGCCCCCCGCCGGTGCTGTGAGTCTCTAGGGGCTGGGGGCAGGTGGGAAGCGCCCAAGGTCTAGGAGCACTGGATGGACATGTAAGGCCAGTTGAAGCTGCTCCCGGATAGTAGCATGTCGCGGATGAGAGTTTCGATGGGGGTTTTACCTACCAAACGGACGAAGAAGAGCTGCTCGATGACCGAGGACGACACGGTGCGCAGCGAGGGCAGCCGCAGCAGCAGTTTGCCGAAGCGGCTGGGCTGGTTAGGGTACTGGCTCCTCACGTACTCCTCCAGCGCGCACTGCGACTTCTCTTGCAGGCTTTCGATGTGGGCCGCATCCGACAGGCCACACGCATCTGCCCGCGCGGCCACCGCAAGGAGAGACCAGGGGAGGGGGCACACGGTTAGGTCAGCCACCAGCAAGGTCACAAGCAACACGCCATTCCACTTTTTTTTAAAAATAAGAAGCAAAGGGGGAAAAAAAAACAAATTGCAGGCAAAAGAAAAAAATCCTCCCCGTGGCTCCCTACTCCTTCTTCCCTATTTCCTAACCCCCCCATCCCGCACCGCCCCCAAGAGCAATAAAAATATAAATCAAACCCCCACCGAGCTCAGGGGAGCTGAAGAGTGGAGCGCACACTTTGCAGACACACACTGTCTAGTTCCTTTGTGTTTCCTCTTTCACCTTTGGGTTAAATAATGAAAGATGCTGGAGCCATGTTTGCCGTGCGGAGCAACCTGGCCTCCGCCTGCAGGGGAGCATCTTTTCCACTGTGCTCATTAAAGGAAGGACTTCTGCCCCCTTTGCCCCGGATTTTAGGGGTGTCCAGGAGCCCTGAAGAAATATGCAGCCTGGAGGCGGCTCTAAAACACTTCTTGGGAGTCCCTCTCTCAAACCCAAACGACCCCCAGCAGGAAAACCTAGATTGTGTGATGCACAGATCATGGGGGGGGGGGGGGGGCTAAGGAGTCGGAGGCTGGCAGTGCCTGCAATCAGATCAAGCCCAGGCTTTAGCAAGATAGGATTTGCGGTCCACTATCTATGCAAGCAAGAAGTCTGCAGCAAATCCTTGTTGAGGGTGAACACTTCTATCGGTGCCTTAGATCAAGTAATTGAAAACTGGTCACATCTCTGTACACTGTATAATAATCAGAAGGAATATGGCTTAGTTACTCCAGGCTGCAGAAAGGAGACAACTTCCGCCATCAGACACAAAGCTGGGCTGGGGGCAGCAGCTGCTGCTGCTGCTTGAGAACTGGGAGGTGGGTGTTGAAGGAGGATTTGGGGAGACAGGCTTCCTGTCGCAGGACTAAGAGAGAAAAATGCACCTATATGCAAGAAAATGTCTGAAAACCTGTGTGTTTAATCTCATGTCAACCAGGGGCTCTTCTTGGTCTACTAAAAATATTTCGAGACAGCAGCTTATACTGTATCAACTAACTAGAGGCAAACCAGTGGAGGGGAAGGTGGAATCAGAGGAAGCGAAGGCTTCTTCTCCTAGTTCAAACACCCATGTTGTTTCTTGTATTAATAATAAATATTTTAAAAAACAGGAAGATCACAGAGGAACCCTTAGCCAGTCAGGAGGTTGACTAGAGATCAAAGGCGGAGTTTGCTAATATATAGATAGATCTGGGAAGAAATGCATGCATGGCGATGCCTGCCCCCCAAAGGACACCATCTAATTGTGAAAGGGCAAGGGTAACCTAAAGAAGATACAGCAAATGATTCAAAGCAGAACCTGTGTCTGAGTTTCTTGAGCTTTATGTCTCTATTTCAAGAACTGGGACTTACAAAGCATTCTAACACCTTCATCTACAAGGCTATGGCCTTGAGCAAAAATACAAATAAAACTAGTGATAATTCAAGAACTTCTGAGGCAGGTCTCCTTTGACCCCGGATCCAGATTGGGGTCCTCTCAGATGTCTAATGACTCTAGCCAGCCATTCGGGTTGCATCCACACTAGCCTGACTTGGGAAGTCAGGGAGATTTTATGGCTAGCAGGCTAGGGGCAGGAGCACTTTGGTGCGTCAGTGCTTGGAGAGGGGACGCTGAGGTCTGCCCTTGGCTCTGCAGGCTAACCTGATCCTGCTCTATGACCCCTGGGCAGACTCATATTTACATATATCTTGCTTCACAGGCTTTATCTGCCCCTTATGGCACAGGATCCCACTCAGCCTCAGAGAATGCAGCATGCAAGAGACTCACTGGCACCCCAGCAGATTCTTTTTTTTTTTTTTTTAAAGACCCACATGGCATCTCTTCGGATCTGTAAAGTGTGTATCTGATATTTACACTTAGGGCCCCCAGCGTGCAAGGTCCCCCAGCCAGGCAACTCCAAGGGAGTTAGAAAGGCATTCCAGGGCCCTGCATTGGCTTCCTTGTCGGAGTTCTTTCCTGCTTTGAAGGCAGGATACCTGTAGCTGGGCCCCTGCTTCGAAGTGCCAGCCAACCAGCACTGTGGCCTCCTCCGGGGCAGGAGCCCTAGGCTGGGCCCGGCTTCCCACTCTAGATATTCATTCCTACTCCAGATATTTCTGCCTCAGGATTCCCCCAACTGTGGAGTGACAAGTGTGAGCTCTCAGACCAAGTAGGTGGTTGTGGTAGCAAAACTAGGTGAGCAGGGGGTGAGATCCAGTATATGTTTACACTCCGTGAGTGTAAACTTATCCCCAGATAAGAAAAGGAGGCAGAATGTGCAAAATCCATGTCTCGCTTTTTATATGGGAGTGTCAATGTGGGAACCCTCGATATTTCTTCTACAGTGTATGGAAAAGAAATTATGTAAATAAATAACCATTACCGCTCAGGCCTCCCCAGCTTAGCCTTTGTAGTGCAGAGAATGTATTTCATGTTGTGCATTCAGAAGAGTTTAGTGTTCAGGAAATATAGATGTAATCAGCTGCCATAACTAGAAATCAAAGTTATTATTGTGCTGAAAATGGATTTATTGTATTTATGTTAACTAGATGGCTCCTTTCAGGGAAAGTCTCATTTATTTGAGAGAATATTTAGGTGTATGAATTAATGAATTTTTTTAAAAAAAAGTAAGTTCAGGTCATGACCTAGTCCTTGGATGCCTTCCAGAATATTAAGGATTAAACATACCATCCGGAGGCCAAATGTGAAAACCACCACAGGGAACCCCCGTGCCAGCTTCAAATACTTAGCCGGAGCAAACCTCGTTGGACAATATGTCTAAAACTGTCTTTTCCATCATTCAAAGTTTGCTTAAAAGTTGGATGACTTTGAGAAGGCTTCCCATGAATTCCCTTCTGGCTAGCAATCAAAACAAGTTTAGTCAAAAGTGGAAATGTGTTATATGGAGGAGGGGGGGTGAATTACTACTGACAGCTCTATTTCCATTTTCAGATAGTCTTCTTGCAATTTTTCCAACAAAATAATGTCATTGTTCACTTCTTGGCCTCTCTTGCACCTTGAAGACTTAGTTTAAGAAATGGCTTTGGGAAAACTTTTTTTTTTTTAAAGGAAGACTTTTCACAGGGACATTTTAGGATGGAAAGTTGAAAGAAAAGCATGAATAATTCCACAATCTTCCCTGCAGCCTGCACGGTCCTTGCCTCTCTCTGGGAAAGGGCAGGAGATCAGAAAAGTCAAGGGGGTTCAAAGAACCTTAGCGGGGGACAAGGAAAAGGGAGGGGTACTTTGCTTGAGAAGACCTCTGTCCAGCTCCAAGTCACATTTCTGCTTCAAGACACCTCACTGGGTGAGATTTTAAAACCCCAGCTTCCCCGACACTGGCTTGCTTCCTGATTAATTTGGCTAAAGAGCTGGGTAGTGGAGAGCCAGCCAGGCCCTAGGCCTGCCAGAACTAAAGCAGCCGGGTCGCTACTTCCCAGGCTCTTTGTCACTTTTGAAAAACACGTTTCCATCAAGAAGACTTATTAAGATAAAATGCATTCAAACACCGAGGAGGCGATTCAATAAATCTTCCATTTGTTTTAAGGTTCTCACTTTATCCTCTTGCAAAGAATAACTCCCTCTCCCACTAGCAGACCTGCATTTGCACTGAAAGTAAAAGGGGGGCAGTCCAAGTCCACGGCTCGGGCCACCCTGCATACAAATGAGATGCTCTTGTCTAAATAAATTATCTGCTGTTCAGATCGATATTAATACTACATTTGCTACATTACAATATTGTGCAAATTTAAGAGTCATTTTAATACAATGTAAATACGATTCTTCACGCATGAAAGCCAGGAAATATTGATAGATTATACCACTGCTTACTGTTCAGCAAGGCCTTGGGAGAGGGGTTTTGCCATCCCTGCTCAAGAATGGTTCTAATTTGGCCTTTGGAGGTCCTGGCTCTAGGATAGATTTATTAGGATGGTTTATTTGTTCTCTGAATGGAGGAATTAAAAACAATAGCGCCAATAATGGTGGTAAAAACGGCAGCTAACTCTATTCACAGTGGGCAAGGCCAGAGACCCAGTCTGAGCAACTCTGTTCCCCACCAGCGTCCTTTCTGGCTTTGTTTATATTTCCCCCCATTACCTGCTGTCCTGGGTGTTTATATGTTTCCCTCTCGCAGGTTACAATAATAAAAGGGGGGCAGTGTTCTCAGAGGCTCAGGCAAGAGCCTTCAAAGGCTACGCTAATGCACTTTCCTGGAAGTTAATTTGAACCATCTATCATAAGAGAAATTGTTAACATGCATGTTACCATTGCCTACATTTAATTTGATATTTTTAAGGCACTCTGTTAAATTTTCAGCGTTCGTGCGCTTCGCATGGGCTATGAGATTTATCTCCCGGGCGGGAATCCTCGCATACTTGCGGGTTCTCCGGCATCGCTTTTGTTTTTTATCTTTCTTGTTTAGATCGAATCCGTTTTTTACGACCCTCAATAACCTCAGCAACTGCAAACATGAATGGTTTCCGATAAGGGAAAATCAGGCAGCCATAAAGCGGGATTATTTATGATTTATTTGCGCGGATTCTTCTCTTGCCACCTCTCCGTGTGTGTGTGTCTCACTGTGTCGGGAAACAGTCAGGGAGCGTGCCACGCAGAGGAGAAAGCCACGTTCCCACGTTCCGTTCCTTCCCTCTCCTCCCCCAGAAACGCCGAGCTCCGGCACACACGCGCGCACACACACATCGCACACACATCCACACCGCACACACGCGCGCAGCCAGACACGGGCGGGCGCTCCCGGCGCCGGCCTGGCCCTCCCAGCGGCCGCAGCCTCACCTGACGTGAACAGCACGATGGCTTTGAGGCAGCTGTACTCGGCCGAGTCGACGTGCAGCGCCTTGAGCTTCTCCACCTGCTCCTGGAAGATGCGGATGTGGTCCATGAAGGCCACGACGCGGTCGGCGGACATGGGCGAGGCGTGCAGGCCGGCGGCGGCCAGCAGCGGCGCCACGTGCAGCGGCATGGAGCACTGGGCTGCGTTGAGCACGAACAGCTCGCTCCAGGTCAGGCGGAGCAGGGACACCTGGTCGGTGATCTGCAGATCCGGGAAGAAGGGGATGTTGCGGGCCCACTCGACGGCGCTGAAGAGCAGGCGCGCGGCCAGCTCGCAGATGTTCTCGATGCCCATGATGTTGTTGGGCTGCATGCACTGGCTGCCGTAACGCGACGTGGGGTAGGGCTCCGCGCGCAGCAGCAGCGAGATGTAGCCGGACAGGTAGCAGTGGCCGTTGAGGGGGTCCCCGTTGGTGAGTGCGTACTGGCCTGGATTGGGTTGAGTGGGAGGCATTCTTCCTCGCTGAACCGCTGACAAAAAGAAAGAGAGAAAAGAGGCAATGTGCATCCAGGGGGCTTGCGAACAGCCCGGGCCGCCCCGCAGCTCACCGACAAAGCGGAGGCTTGTCCCCGCGGCCCCCAGCGCCCGGAGCATCTTCCTTGGCGCTGGCCTTCACTCCCGGCCCACACCCTCCAGCTCCGTGGCTCCGTCTGCCCGGCCATCTCGGGCGCTCCTGGCCACCCCAGACCCGGCCAGAACTAGGCCTGAGTTAAGGGCTCCCCCCCAGCCCAGCCTGACGGAGAAAGTGCACCCCAACCCCTCGACCACCACCAGGTCACACGCAGATTAATGACATCCCACTCACCCCTCCAGAAGGAACCCAATCAGGGTAAAACAAAACAAAACAAAAAAAAACAGGCTAAACCAGAGAAAAGGTTGTGGTTCTAGGCACATGCCTAGCTGCCTCTTCATTTACAAGCAAGCAGGTTTTGTTCAAAATATTTCCATATTCTCTAAAAATGCTATGGGATTATCCTTAAAATAGACAGAAGTTACATACCCTACTCACAACTTACAACTTTTGAATAGAAAACAAGTATCCTGCACCCCTCCCCATCCCCTCCTCCCCATCGCCCCACACAAAGTTCTCACTGTTAAGAGCAACAGAAAATTGAAAAAAAAAAAAATCAAGAAAGAAGTTGAACTTACAGTAGCCAAACATTATGGAAAAAAGTGGAAAATATAATTAATGTCTGTCCTGTGAGGTGCCACAGCAACCTGCAGCCAGCTTTTGCCCAGTGAATGCACGAGCTTGCAACTGCAAAAACACTGGATTCATTAACCATCTGAATGCAAAACGTAAGCATGCTTTGAGTTCTTAAAGCTGACCAAAGTTTTTTTTTTTTTTTATGTGTATGTTTTACTTCAACAGTGCCAGCGTTTTAAATTGCCATGTAAACAAAGACAACTTTAGGAAAAGTTAGGGCTACTGAACTCTCCCCCCACAACAAATTAATATAGATATGTCCATGTACACGTAGCTTTCTTACTTCAGGTTGTACACTATTTCCTTAAGTTTGCACTGATTCTCATTTTAATGCAAGCCTCAATGCAATTTAAGCTCTTAAAACATAACTGGCTAGAATACTTTTTTCTAATTATAGTTTTGAACTTGGCAGTTATTTTTCAATTAAATGAGAGTACAATTCAAAGTTTTTTTTTTTTTTTCTTCAGATGCCTATAAAATCTCCCTGGAGCTAGAAATGAAGTCGTCATATTTGCCTGCTCTTTGAGATCTGAAGAAATTCAATTTCTTTTCTTGTGGCATATAAAATATAATTTTAAAGTCAATTACAAGAAGGAGTAATCTGCATTCTGCAAAATTGACTGGTTTGCTAATTTGACTATAAGACATCTTTAATGATTGTCAGGAGATAAACTTTAACTGTAAATGGCTAGATATATTTATAAGAAAAGTGCTGCATTTCTTGCCACATGAACATGAAGCATATCTAAATACAACATCAAAACTTGTGTTAAAAGAAACCGAAGTCATACGACACAGGGATTAAATGATGCTGAAGCTCATGCCAGCTGCAGTCTATGCATTATAGCCAAATCAGAAGGATCGGTAAATGCCGTTGTAAATTGTAATTTGTATGCAGTATTTAAACAGAGGGTGGAGTTTGATGAAGAAATAAAACGAGTATCATGCTTTAAAAAAAAAATGACACAACTATGAAAGCACGGTTCAGTCACAAACTTTCCTTTGAAAGTAGAGGGGTGAAAACAAGGCCACAGCTCTGGAGGAGGCGGCCCCAGCTCGGTGGAGAGGAGAGGGAACCAGTGAACAGGCCAGAAGCGCCCCCCCCCCCTTCCCTCCTAATTAGACCTACAAGTGCAATAAATCTCACTCCTCTTTTTCCAAGCTAAGCTTCCAAAAGGATGATGCAGTCAGGGATCTATGGTTCAGAATCCTCCAGTCTCCTCCAGCCCTCCCCCATCTTAAATAAAGGGCAATGAAGACGTGGAGAGGAAAGGGGAATAAAAAAGAACAAAAACACACAAACCACAGAAACAGAGTTTTCTGGGGGCAGTAAGCAGCCCTCCCCCAAGCTCATGCCAGCACAGCTCCGAGCATCCTCACGCACACGCGGGAAGGAGACACACACCGAGCACATCCAAGACAGAGGGAGGGGATTTTCCAGCACAGCTCACGATCCTAGGGGCACCGTCCCGAGCAGGCAGCGGGCGGGGTGGAGAAGCCGGGGAGACGAGCGCAGGCCGGGAGGGGGAGACAGCGGCAGCGAGCTGGGGCT